ATACACAATAAGAACATAATACATACAAGTAGTAATAGAGCACACAAAATTTATTAATAAATACAGTGGTTCCCTGCTGTCCTACCATTTCCAAGAACATGAACAGTCACTTCCCAAGAATAATTAATTTTAAACTCTTTAGTCCATTCTTTCATATTTGCCTTTATATTGCAAAATAACATACTTACATTACTACTTTGTGACTGTTCAATTTTAGCATTTATCCATGTAATTTCCACACTGGAAGATGAGACTTTAATTTTACTTAGTTATCTCTGTTTTGTTATTAAAGTATCCTATATTCTCCATGAGTTAGTTAGCTAAATACTTTTTAACATAAACATTCATTATGTTCAAACACATAAGTATTCTGTTTCATCTTCCCAGGGATCTGTTTCTCAGACCCAGTGTCCTGCTTCACTCAGTGGATCTACTGCACAAGATTCCTCTTGGAATCTCCATCATCCTTGGGATTTACTTTCTCTCTTGGTTGCTTCCTCTCTCCTCCTACACCCCTTCATTCTGAAAGGGTCATGGTCAGTAATTCACATCTGAGAGCCTTGCATGTTGGAGAATGTCCTGTGCTCTTGAAGTTGATGGTGGTTTTGCTGACTTGTAGACTTTGGGTTTGAAGGAATCCACTCAGAGCATTAAAGGCACTGTCTGCTTCCAGCAAAACTGCTGACATCTAGTCCCACTCTGACCCTTCTCTTTTTTTGTGTGTGAAACTTTCTTCTTGGAAGTGGGAACTTCTCTTCCCATGAAATGTTTGGATGTGTTGTTATGATACTCTCTTGTCCCTTACATTCAGCCCTTTCGATCACAAACCTTTCATTTTTTGGTAATTGTCTTAGTCACAATCAATATTGTCTTCTGTATTCTGTGCTCACTGCTGCAGGAACTCCTGGTGGTTGAATGTTGGGCCTGCTGAATTGGTCTCTTGTTTCTTCTGGCTTCCATTACTTTGTATTTTTTAATTCAACTTTTGGGGCTATTTAGGTGGCTTTATCTTCCAACTGGTTTCTCAGATTTTCACATATTTCTAATTTTCAAGAGTTTAAAAAATGTTTTCCAGGTGTCATTTTATGTAATTGCTATTACATTATTTAATGACTGCAATCATTTTCTCTTTTTATTTGGTAGTGTCCATCGTCCTATAACTCTAAAAATATATCCATTCAGTTATACAAGGTAAATTTTATACATTAATAAAAATAGTATTTAAAATATCTTTCAAAGTGTGTTCTCTGAAGATAGTGATATTCCTTTTGAGATTTTTCTCCCTACAAACTCTTTTATCTCCTCCAAGTTGCTTTTTCTCTGTTTTAAGATTTTTCTCAAATGCCAGTTATCTTTGTCAATATTAAAGAGTGGAGGACTGAAAAGTTGGCTGTCCTATGTGCTTGGCCTGTGTTTATGGACAGTGACCCTCACTGTGAGGTGAGTGGCTGGACCGTCACATGGGAGAGAGCCAGTGCCAGCATCTGGAGGCCCTTTTCATGGGCTGTTCAGGTTCCTTGGAGAAGATTCTTTCAGTCTCTGACTAACGAGTATGAGTGAGAGTGGGTGTAAGTGAGAGTGGACACCATCATTCAGGGAGAATGGAAGATTGTATCTTCATCCTTTGCATGTTAACACAATCCCGGTTTTCAATGTTGTTTTCTCACTTTTTGCTGTGCTTCTGAGACTCCATACTGTTTTTTGTAGCAAACGAACCCCAAGGCTTCTGCCAAGATTGGGTAGAGAATCTAGAAGGCTGTTTGCTTTTATTTTTTAATGTTATGTGCTGTTGAGTCCGAATCGCCTTATACTTGACCCTCCAACAGGCTTTCAGAGGCAGTAAATCATACAAGAGGGAATTGTGCATCTCTCTCCTGCAGAGCAGCTGGTGGATTCCAAACGCCTGTCTTTTAATAGGTTTAATAATCTATTATTTTTAAATAGATTTTTTTAAAATTATTATTAAATTTTTATTAGTTTTAATGAACATTTACAGAGATTTTGGGTTCTCATTCATTCATTGTTGCACTGTTTTCTCTACCCTCCTCCCCAGTTCGTTCTTCTTCCCCCGCCTGAATGTCTGTTTTAATTGTCCAATTGCCACAGTGCTTGTCAAAGCCAGTTCTGATTAATCTCCTTTGTCAGTGTGTCCTTTGCCTAAATAGAAGATTTTAAACATAAGAAAATAGAGGGAAGAGTAGAATCGACTCTCACTTAGCCAACAGCCAGTTCAGCAATCACGACAGCCAAACTTATTTCCTCTAAACCTTTATTTATTTCCTTCTCATTCCATTCCTGTAATTTTGGAAGAAATCTTGACACATCATCTTTTAATCTGTGGATATTTTATCTTTATAAAACCTAACAATATTTTTAAAAATTACATAGAATACTGTTATCAACCAGCTGCCCTTGAAAAACTCAAGTGATTCCTTAAGAACAGCATTTATCCTGTCTGCTGTGATGTAAAAAAAATAGACTTTCATTCAGTCCTCACCTCCACTTTCAGCAGTACCTGTTGCCAACCGCTTCCTACATCTCCTGGGGAGTTCTGTAATGTAAGTCATCTTGCTGTTTACCTTTGCCCACTGCCAGTTTAAGACTAGCTTCTTCGTCAGCTAACTTGATTACTGTTCATCCATCTGTTCCTTAGCTTCCAAAGTTATGCTACTGTTATGTTACATCCTCTTCTATTCCCTTTGTCTGTGTTTATACTTTTAAAAAGAAAATTCCTGTATAACACTTTCCTGTAATGCAGGATTTTGTGAGGGGGGAGTGGTGGTGGTGGTTGAGTGCCATTGAGTTGGAACTGCCCCATAGCTGACCCTTGAGCGGGTTTTCAGAGGCAGCAATTCATACAGGAAGAGATTGCCCAGCTTTCTTCTGTGGTGTATCTGGTGTATTCAAAACCATGTTCCTTTGGGTTGAGAGTGCAACTCCATACCACTAAGTCACCAGAGCTCCTTGAGGGAGGGGAGGATAATGAATGTATTTGTTCACTAACACACCCAGAGCATTCTTCATGATTGTTGTATCACAACCTTGAGGAAAAGGATAGGTATTCCTTCCTAATGCCTCTCAATCCATCTGTATCCCTCATTGGACAGACAAAGGAGCTTTCGGGGGAACCAGATCTACTAAAGCAAAGATGAGTGGTTCGAATCCACCAGCTGCTACTCCAGACAAACTTGCCCATCGTTTTTGGACCCCAGTACAGGAATTTGTATTTCCCCCTATTAAACATTGAATTGTTTAGGAGTTTGTAGTAGAAGTGGGAGTGTTTGTCAGCCATAAGCCTCAGTAGGACATTTCTATACTTCATGAAGAAGGAAGTTAAAGGCCAGGCATTGAGAGGAAAAGAGAAGATTGTTTAGAAAAGAAGACAGAGAGATCCTGCAGTCTGTCATGGTGAGGAGATCTGTTAGGAAATGTATTAGCAGGAGGAAGCTGTTGGTGAGAGAGGGCAGTTGGTAAGTGAGGAAAGTCTTGTAGGACAGAGGGAATGAGGTCAGGGAGACGAAGTGACATTGCAGGCTAGAACAGAGGCAGGAGAAGAGGAACTCTGTTTGCATTGCTGTTGTGCTTTCATTATATTGAACTCTGTACATTTTTTCAGTTCAGACAGTGAGTATGGTAGTATTTGCTTCATTTTCAGATCAGCTGGCTAAGGCTTGTAAAGGAACATGTAAGGTCACAGAGCCAGTTAGTGACAGAGGTCATTCAAACCAAATTCTATACTTTGCCCAGCACAGACAGGGATAAACTAGATTACAGCTCAGGGTTAGTGGCAACGGGGCTGTGAGGTAAATAAACGGTTAGTGTTTGTGTCTGAGGATTGATTAAAAGGAAAAAGTTTAGCTAAATCTTATGCTATTCCATGTCAATTCTCCACCCCCAGTACTAGCTCTATACTTGTCACTTTGCACGCAGCTGAAAAATCTTGGAGCAGATGCATTCTTCTGAGTTTATTTTGGGAGGAAGGGTTACTTTCTAAGAGGAGAGATGAGATGATAAACTTATTTGCCCATATGGGTGATAAACTCCCCCCAAATTATTTGCCCATGTGTATTAGCATACTTACATTCAGTAAAGGATAGTGAGCTCCTCTCTTGAATTTGTTTATTTTTTGAATGATTATCTGGAGACTCTTTCCCTGAAACAGAATGCACACACACAGAGTCATGCACAATGCAGAGTCACTTACACAACACTGAATTTATGTCTGTCATCCTGTAAGGGTATAATAGAGTTCAAAAATCCTGATAGGAGGATGGGCCATAGTAGATATAACCAGGTATACTGAATGCCACAGCATCCCACAGATAATGTGCCTCATGTCTCTTGTATACAAAACAGTTATACTATTAGGTGCATAATGGTGCAGTCAGTACATATACTGTGATATGGTGTTCATATAAGATCCAAATCACATTCTGCCATATTTAATAAAATGTTGTTGTTGTTGTGATTTGCTGTGGAGTCACCTGCGACTTGTAACGATCCTATGTACAATAGCCCTAAACCCTGCTCTGTCCTGTACAAATCTTGTCTCTGACACACTTACCCCCATTACCCCAGTCACTGAATCAGTCCATCTCATCGAGGGTCTTCCTCTCTTGCGCTCATGGACATTAAATGATTTATGACTAAATATATAGCTTTCTATGCCCCTAATGTACCTTCTCTTATGTGTACATGTATATGTTATTGTTGTTATGTACCACTGAGTTGGAACTGACCCATAGCTAACCAGGATTTTCAAAAGCAGTAAATTGTGTAGGAGGAGGTTGCCTTTATCAGCAGGTGGATTTGAACTATGTACTTGGCGTTGGCAGTGCAGTTCTTTACCACTAAGTAAGTCACCAGAGGTCTCTATACATACATATATGAATATATATTTATTTGTTATTTGTCTTGAGTTATTAAAAAGATCCCAAGATTTAGAAGAGCCTTATCCTTTTTAGTAAAGATCTGCCTTTCTTGCACCTCTTCTTTTGTAGGCCTTTGCACAATTTGATGCCGAGGGCGATGGCACAGTTGATGCTGAGAACATGCTGGAGGCTCTCAAGAATTCCAGTGGAGCTAATCTTCAGGGGGAGCTAAGTCACATTATCAGACAACTGCAAGCCTGCTCTCTTGTTCCAGGTAACAGTGCCAAAGGCGGAACTTTGTTGTGCTTTGGGTTGTAATTAGGTTGTAAACTGTGGACATCGTGAAATAAACCGTTCCACCAAAACAGGATTCATTAGGCATGTAATGTTCAAGGTAATCATCTGTTTTGTTCCTTAATACGTTGATGGCTGAGCAGTTCTTCCACTTTTAATGAACCCTGGTCGTGGGACTTTCCTTAGTAAATTTTTTTATTTCACTCTCAAGAATTCTTCCCTGGCCCCTGTTGTACTTTCTCTTAGCATCCTGCTGGGGTTTTTTTGCAACATGTTACAAGTGAAATTAATCAACTACTCATGTCTGTCTTCACCCCTATGCTTTGAGCTTCATGAAGAAAGAGAACTTTTCACTCATTTTTACTCTGCCCTCACATTTTGCATGTTTTTGGCTATGTGGGTTGGCATTCAGTAAATATTTATTTTTTTTATAATGCTTTCCTCTAAGATTTAAAGAAGATAAAAATAGTTTGAAATTTAGCACTGCTTCTACAGATAGACAGTCCTTGAGCTATAAATGAGATTCACTCAAGTACATCTTTAAGTCAGATTTTGTAGGTAATTGGAACAGGTGCACACATTTATTTAATGCAAGAAAAGACTAGAAGACTCTTCAGTAATTTACAAGCTGCACTGGCAGCAAATTATTTTGATGAATTTATTGTATGTAAGAATCGAAGAATTTCTTTCTAAATGAAGGCAAACTTACATAACATTAAAGGGCAAGTAGGCAACATTTGTCATCTGAGAACTTATTGTACTACAGTATGCATATAGGTAAATATGGCCTGTGTTTTTATGTGTGATTGCTTTTGGAGTCTCACACTAATGTAAAGGCAGAAATGTAATATACGTGGATTTGTTTCCCCCCTCCTAGCAAGGAAACAGTTGTGCCTGAAAGGAAAAGCGCACTGCACATCATCACATTAATGTCCATTTATCATAGAGAAGAGCTGCTCCTGCTCTGTTTTGTTGTTAGGTGATGTGGGCTTGGCCCCAACCCACAGTGATAATAGAAAGAAATGCTGCCTGGTCCTGCGTCATCCGCACTATCTCTGTTGTGCTTAAACCCATTGTTGGGACATAGGGTTAAGCCATCTTGTTGTGGGGGTCTTCACTTCCCCCCCCCCCGACCTTCCACTGTGTATGCTAACCTTTTTCAATGACTTATCACAGAATGATACCTTTTTCCAGAGTCCTGATAACATTTCCAGAGTATATGAGATGAAATCTTCACTTTTTAAAAAAATTAATTTTAATGAAAGTGTACAGAGACTTTGGATTTCCATTCATTCACTGTTGCTCTTTTCTCCCTGCCCCCCTCTCCCTCCCCAGTTCACTCTTTTCTTTGAAAAGTATAAGAAAATTTCTTTCATTGTTATACAGTCCCTCCCCCTAAGTCCATTCCACTATGCAGCCTTCATTCTGGACTCCTGTCATGACAATAATACCTAATCACTTCTTTTTTTTTTTTAATTTTATTTTATTATGTACAGTCAAATTGGATCTGACTGATACAGGAGGAGATTGTCCCTCCTTCTCCAGCAGAGCATCTGGTGGGTTCGAACTGTGTTCCTCTGGGATTGTAGTGTAGCTTCTTGCCATTAGGCCACCAGAGCTCCCAACAATAATACCTAATCACTTCTAAGGAACATTCTGACTACACTTCGTCCAAGACAGATTTATTTATTCTTTTGGAAGTCCATAGTATATTCAGTACCCTTCATCAGCACCATAACTCTTCTTCATTCTTCCTTTTTCATTCAGTCCATCTCTTCATATGCACATGAAGCCACTGAAAATACCATGGCTGTGGTCAGGCATACCTTAGTACCAAAGTGACATCCTTGCTTTTGTAGTCTGTGTACTTAGGTTATATGATACTTAGCATAGCTAGGACAGCAGTGAAGGCAAAACAGAGTTGATAGATACATCAGTATAAACCTAATTGCTCTTGACCATTATGGCTTGCCGATGAGCAATATTTTTATTTAGGGACAGATAATTTCTGTATCTTAGTGAAGAATGCATGTTTTCATTCTTCATTAAATTGTCTCTGTAATTTTTTAAAAAAATTATTGAGATTTTAATGAAAGTTTATAGAGAACTTGGATTTCTAGTCATTCATTATTTCACATTTTCCTTCCTGTCTCCCCTCCCTTCTCCAGTTAGCTTATTTCCTTTGGGGAAAAAAAAATTCTTTCATTGTTATACAGTCTCCCTGCACCAGTTCATTTAACTATGCAGCTCTTATTCTGCACTCTTGTCATGCCAATAATACCTAATCATATGTTCCTTTTATACAGTTCTCTCCCTCGTCTGTTTCAATGCTGTCTACATTATTTACCCCCTCTTTCCATAGTTTCCCCCCAGCCCCCATATCAGTTCTGTCCCGTAACAATGACATTATGCAGTATTTACCTTTTTGTGACTGAGATATTTCACTCAGCATAATGTCCTCCATGGTCACCCAGTCTATATATTTCATTAATTCTTTGTTTTTCAGTTCTGCATAATATTCCATTGTGTCAGTTTAACACAGCTTATCTATCCATTCGTTTCTTGATGTGCACTTGGTTTTCCCCCAACTCTTTGCTATTGCGAACAAAGTAGCAATAAACATGCATGTGCATATATCTGCTTGGGTAAGAGTTATGGTATCTTTAGGGTATATTCCCGATAGTGGAATTGCTAGGTCAAATGGTATTTCTATTTCCAACTTTTTTAGAAAGTGTCGTATTGCCTTCTAGGTGGTTGCACTATTTTACACTCCCACCAACAGTGAATAAGGGTTCCAGTTTCTCCACAACCTTGCCAGCATTTGTACTTTGATGCTTTGTTGAATTTTGCTGTTCTTACTGGGGTGAGATGATATCTCATAGTTGTTTCGATTAACTGTGTAATTTTTGTCAGTAATCTGTGTGTATTTTTTCCTACTCTTATGGAAGTAAAAAAAATACACTTTAAAATATGTTTAAATGACATGTGTTTTAGAGTTTACATATGACTCCCACTTTGAAATTCCCAGATTGTGCCTAGCATCAGGCAGCTTTATTTGTGGACCTTAAAGAGATTTTTTTGGGTACTCAATGTCTCTGTTATGTCTGATGACTGTGAGGAGAGAGAGATTAGGTTGAGAAGATTGAGGGTCCAGATACGACAGCACTTACTTAGCAGGCTCCTGACTTAGAACTTGTTCAGTCTGACTTCTTTATCAAAACGTACTGTAAAGAACTGCTAGTCACATCCTTGGATCTTTGTAAGCTGCTGTGGCCTCTGTGGTGGGACCCCTCAGTGTCTTAGCCCCTCTCTTCAGTCCCTTCCCATGTTGTGATATTATCTCCCACCAGCTTTCTATCCAGTGATTTAGTCATTCTTTATGGACACTAAAACTTGTTTCTTTTGTAACTTACTGAATTAGTGTGTAGATGTTTAAAAGAGAAAATACCTTTGCCCAAGTCATTACCTGGCTCAATGTATGGAAAGCATTTTCCCTTCACAATAACCAGTCTATTTTTTCCATCGATGTGAGCAGCTTGGTACAGCAACATCAGTGTCATAAATGAACAACTTGGGTGTTACTGCAGAGGTCCCCTGGGAAAAAGCCTGTAGCTGTAAAAGGAGAAGGAAAAGGATGACACAGATATTGGAGATTTCAGAAATCAGACTAGTGTTTGGGTGAGGAACATAGCCAGAATACTCTTCAATTGAAAAATGTCTGCTTAGACCTATATCTTATCTTAAAAATTAATGCATGGTTTCATTCTTCTGTCTGATGTGTTTATAATTAAAAGCAGTTCTCCTTTGGAGCGTCTATAGACTTGATCTGGGTATTGCTTACTAAAATGTGTTTAGTTTGTGAAAATTCATAGAGCTGTACAATTATAGTATATGACCTTTTCATTATGTATGTTATGTTTAATTATAAAGTAAAAAAGAGTTCCCCAGATCTTTGAATATATCTATGCTCTGGGAAAAATCAGTCATGTTTATCTTCCCCCAAGCATTTCTTGAGGTTATGACCATCTCAATTCAAAGCATATTTATGTAAGTTATTAGGAATTTTAAACAAGGGTAGGTGTGGCCTGCTTTGTGTGTTTACATACTCATTTGGATTAATGGTACGTAGAGAGGCCTGAGGAAGTCTGAATAGGTATAAGTTGATGTTAAAGTCAGAGCTTGAGCAGTGGCCAGAGGAATGGACAGTGGGGCAGGCTGCAGAGGCATCACAGTGGGGAGGTAGAACTCGGATGGTGGAGGAATACTTGAAGGGGGACAAGGAGGATTCCTGATCCTGCCCCTTCTTTTTTGACCAAAATTTAATTTTGTTCAGTTATAAAACAAGGGAACTACTGGGCTCTGTGAGGAGGAATAATGTGGCATCAGGATTGGAGGAAGACACAACCTGCGTTATGCAGGTGACACAAAATTGCCTGCTGAAACTGAGGCAGACCTGAAGCGCTTGCTGCAGAATGTCAAGGACTGCAGCCTTAAATGTGGATTGAAGCTCAATATCAAGAAAATGAAGATTGTCACCACTGGACCAATTGACAGCATCAAGGTAGCTGGTAAAGATTGAGATTATTAAAAGCTACAGCTTACTTTGCTCTACAGTCAACACCTTTGGTGCCAGCAGCCAGAAAATAAAAAGATGGATTGGGAAAATCTGCTGTCAGGGACCTCTCCAAAGTACTGAAGGGCAACAGTGTCATTCTGGAGTCTAAGGTTCACCTGATTCAGGCCATAGACTTCACAGTTACATGCTATGCATCAGAAAGCTGCACAATGACTAGGGATGATAGAAGGAGAATTGATGCCTTTGAGCTGTGCTGCTGGAGAAGAATATACCATGGGCTGCTCGCAGAACAAACTGGTTCGCCCTGGAGAAGCAAAACCAGACTGCTTCTTGGAGGCAAGGATTCTGAAGCTCCATCTGACATACTTTGGACATACTGCAAGGAGGGACCAGTCCTTGGAGAGGGATGTCGTGCTTGGGAGGGTGGAGGGACAGCACAAGAGAGGAAGACCCTTGATGAGATGGATTGATTGAGTGACAGGTAATGGGGGTAGGTGTGTCAGAGACGATAAGGCTGGCACAGGATAGAGCAGGGTTTAGGGCTGTTGTACATAGGGTCACTATGAGTCGCAGGTGACTTGACAGCACATAACAACAATAGTACCTGTGGTGCCTGTCTCCATCTTGTGAGGACCAAATGAGAAAATGTAAAAAGAACCCCCCAAAAAAAACACAACCTCTTATAGACAGTAAAATCCCATCAGAAAATGTGGTAATATGCTAATTACTAATAGTTTTATTGTTAACATTGACATGAAGCTTCATATAAAAGAAATTATTCTTCTACTCTCTAATCTCTAAAACTGTATTTTTAACTATACATGAGTTCCATATTCTTTGCAGGAAGCTTCTAGTCAGCATTTAAGTACTTATAAATTGTTAAAGATCTGACTGAAAAAATTAATCATTATTCTAAATCTTCTAAAATTCTGTCTAATTAAAAGAAATTATTAAGTAAGTTTTTATTATTATTACTACCTTTTATTATCTATATCTTTGTAAACTCAGGCTTTAAACATCTGAGAGTGACTGAGAATAACAGCACAGGAGATGATATGCTGCAATACTGTATGTGGTACATACTGCTAGTGATAAGACATATGAACTCCTCCCTACCCTTGCCAGAACACCAAAACAAGTAGTCATAAATGTGGTTCATTCTAATTCAAATACATTATAAATCAAGGACCAGCTCATTTTTTAAGAACGTGTTTACCTTTTTAAATGATGAACATGGAAAAAAAAAACATTGAATATTAAAGTCTGCTTGTCCCCAGCAATAATAGCAAAGTTCAACAGTGTAGCAAACAACAAGTGCTGGTGAGATTGTGGAGAAATTGAAACTCTTATTCACTGCTGGTGGGAATATAAGCTGGTACAACTACTATGGAATGGAGTATGGCACTTTCTCAGAAAATTGGAAATAGAAATACTGTTTGACCCAGCAGTTCCGTTATTGAGAATATACCCTAAAGAAACCAGAACCACACTCAAACAGTTTTATGCACATCCATGTTTATTATGTTATTCACAGTAGCAAAGAGATGGAAGAAACCCAAGTGCCCATTAGCAAATGAATGGATAGAAATGTACATTCACACAATGGAATATTATGACGCAGCTTAGAAAAACAATGAACTTGTAAAACATTACACAACATGGAGAAACCTCAAGGCTATTATGCTAGTGAAATATCTCACTAAGGGACAAACTCTGCATATAACACTGCTGTTATAAAATAGGACAGACATGGGGGAGTAGGGAAGAGAATGGGGAAAGAGTAGCTCTATCATGAACACTGAATTAGAATAGATGAGAAAGAACGGACTGAAAGGAATATGTGATTATGCATTATGTGTGACAATGGTATGGAACAAGGGGTAGGAGGAAGAAAGTGTAAAACAATGAAAAAAAAATTAAGAAATCTGCGTGTAACTCAGCCAGTATACATAGACCACGGGGTGAGGATGTGGAAACTATTTTGTTATATTCCCTCAAACACTGAAAATGGGTTTTGTTCATCTTAGGTTTCACAGACATATTTTCAGAGTCCAAGGAGGGTCTGAGTGCTCACTCTTCAATGATCCTTCGCTTCCTGCATCGCAATCGCATCGCCAGCACAGTTATCCCTTACCCGATGCTGGACCACTGCAATAATATGTGCACCATGAGGTCTTCTGTTCTAAAGGACTCTCTGGATCAACTTGTACAGAAAGAAAAGGGTATGTATGGGGAGTTTTCCCCTCCAAAAAATACGATACCATTTTTATAAAAACTAGTATTTTTTTCTGGACATACTTTGTAAAAATGGATCCCTGTGTCTCCCTCTACCCCCATCCTCTGTCCCTCGTCCCGCTTCCTTTTGTCGTTGAGTCTCTGCTCAGTTTTGACCTTTAAGGAGACCTTTCCTGATCATTCTGTGTAATCACATGTCCCTCAGTCCACCATCTGTCCTGTGCATCATCACCTTTGCAGATTTCGAAGTCTGTGTAGCCCTTACCACTGCCTAACAATAACAACTCATTGCTGTTAAGTTAGGACCGACTTATAAGCTGACCCTCCAGTACATTTTCAAAAGCTGTAAATTGCAGGGAAGGAGATTGCCCATCTTTCTCCCAAGGAGCACCTGGTAGATTCAAGCTGAGTGCCAGCACAATTCTTTACCCACTAGGCCACCAGAGAGCTCCCGATCACTATCTAAAGTTGTTATGTTATTTATTTATTTATTTGAATTTTGCCTCTCTCCTTTTCAAGTTTGAGATTTTTATCTTCCTTAGCATTATCCTTGATGCACAGTAGCTACCCAGTAAGTCTGTCACTATAAACATATTTAGTGAAAGCGATAGAAATTAATAAAATGAATAGACTGATATATAGAAGGTAATTGAATCCAGATTCATAGAATCAGTCCATGTGGACATATAGTTACAGATAAAGTTTGCATCACAAACCAAGATGGAAAGATGAATTAGTCAACAAATCAGGTTAGGAAAACTGACTGTAGATATTTGGAAATTTTTTTTTATTATTATTAAATTTTATTAGTTTTAATGAACATTTACAGAGATTTTGGGTTTTCATTCATTCATTGTTGCACTGTTGGAAATCTTTTGAAATTTGAGAAATGTAAGTCCAAACTGTTAAGACTACTAACCAAAAGATTAGCTATTTGGATAACAATAAAACTCCATTTGAGCTCACTAAAATAAGTTTCAGATGGCCCAGAAAGTTAAATTATAAAAGAAATGGAAAAGAAAATAATTCCACTTTATAAAAAAACCTTTCTAAACAAAACCTGAAACCCAGAAACTACAAAAGAAAAATGAAGAAATTAGACTGCATGAAAATGAAAATTCTCTGCAGCAAAAATTACAAGCTAAAACAGATGACATTCTAGAGAACAAAATATTTGTAGCATATTTTGACTGGCTTAATTTTTTACTAACTCTGGCACTGGGTGGTTATTTAACTCTCTGTGCCTTAGGTTTTCACCTAGGAAATGAATGAATATAAAAAATAAAATTCATACATGCAAAATACGTAGAACAGTGTCTGGTTTTTAGTAAACAATTTATATGCACTAGTATAGTGGCTTAGAGGATGATGTGTTAGACTGTTAACTGAAAGGTTGCTGGTTCAAATGCAGCAGTCACTCTGGAGAAAGATGAGTGGTCTCCTGCAGAGCTTTACAGCTTTGGAAACTGCATGACGATGGCAGGGGTTTTTTTTTGGTATTCAGTTATGTGTATGTTATGTAATATATTAAAAATACTCATAAAGTAATTAGACTAGTGACTCAGTAGAAAATGAAAAACGACAAAGCTGTACTCAGAAATGCAAATAGCTTCCAAACAAATGACTTTAAAAGCCTCACTTACTATTAAAGAAATGCAAATTCAAGCTATAGGATACATTTGCTTCTTTTGGCATAATTTCCAAATTATCTCCATAATTTTTTAAACAGGTGATTTAAGTATTACACTTTTAATAGGATAATGAGGCAATCATTGGCCAGTTTCTGCTTTACACGTAGGTTCTTTGAAAGGAAATTTTGAGAAATACATGTTTTTCTGAATATCAAAGTGCAAACATTTCTGTGAGATTACCTGATAAACTCTGTTTTTTCCTGCAGAAAGCCCTGGAGATTTAACACAGAGCCCAGAAATGGATAAACTCAAGTCAGTAGCAAAATGTTATGCTTATGTAGAAACGTCCTCCAACCCTGGAGATATTGACAAGATGACAAATGGAGAAACGTCATCCTACTGGCAGTCAGATGGCAGTGCCCGCTCACACTGGATTCGGTGGGTGACATCAGATCTCCAGTGAAAGTCCAAAAATGACCTGCTTTCTTTCTCTTGCCCTTTAAGCGCATTATTATTACTTTACGTTTTGGAGGGTTTTCTACTTCATTAAAACCAGGGGTGTTCCCCCTACCCCATGCTTCTTATGGTGAGCAGCTACCTGTGAATATGTATGCCTTAAGTAAAATGAATTGTGCTAACCTGGCTCATAAATTCAGAAACACAAATAATTAATTTCTTTGTTATTTTAAAGGACAAATTATATTAGGTTCTTTTCAGCTCCTAGTGACTCTGTGTATCAGACTCCATGTAACTGCCCATTAAGGTTTTCTTGGTTGTAATGCCACCACTCACTTGTCTGCTTGCTGTACTGTGTGGCTTATGTGTTGCTGTGATACTGGAAGCTATGCCTCTGGTATTTCAATACCAGCAGGGTCACCCAAGGTGGATGGGTTTTAAGCAGCGCTTCTAGACTAAGGTACAGAAGCATCCACATCTGAACTAGCAGGTCTTCGAAAACTCCGTGGTCTATGGAAGAGCATTATTGGATATAATGCCAGAAGATGAGTCCCTCAGGTTGGAAGACACTCAGAATGTGACTGGGGAAGACTTACCTCTTCAGAATAGACAAGAAGGCAACGTTGTTACTTGGATCTACAGTGAACACCCATGGTAGCAGCAATTAAGAAATCAAAAGATGTATTGCCTTGGGGAAGTCTGTCAAGAACCTCTCCAAAGTACTAAAGAGCAAGGTGTCAATTTAAAGACTAAGATGTGAGTGACCTAAGTCGTGGTCTTTTCATGTGCTTCCTATGTATCTCAAAGTTGTCATGAATACACATGACAGAAGAAAGAATTGTTGCCTTTGAATTTAGTATTGGAGAAGCCTATTGAATATCTCACAGACTGCTAAAAGGACAAACAATGTGGTTAGAAAGAAGGGTGTTCCTTAGAGGCAAGAATGATGAAACTAGTTCTCAATTATTCTGGGCCTCTTTTGAGAAGGAACCAATCCTTGGAGAGATACATTATACTAGAAAGAGTGGAAGGACAGTGAAAGAGTGAAAGACTCTCACTGAGATGGATTAACACGGTGACAGCCACATGGACTTGAACATAACAGAGACCATGAGGATGGGACAGAAGAGACCGAGGCTCAGGTCTGCTATCATGGGGTTGCTTCAAGTCATGCTTAACTTGATGGCACCTACCCGCAACAAGGCTGTGATCTTTATGGAAGCTGATTGCCAAGTTTTTTCTTCAGAAGCTCAGGGTGGATCTGAACATCAAGCCTTCTGGTTAGTGCCCAAGTGCTTAGTTGTAGCACCAGGTTTTCTTAAAGGAGGTCACCATTGACTAATATTTTACAGTGCTAGATGACACAACCTGCTTGCTGAAAATGAAGAGGACCTGAAGCACCTGCTACAGAGGGTCAAGGACTGCAGCCTCCAATATGGATTGAGGCTCAATGTCAAGAAGACAAAGATTCTCATTACTGGACCAATTGGCAGCATCAGGATGGATAATGAAGAGATTGAGATTGTTCATAGCTTTAGTTTGCTTGGCTCCACAGTCAACAGTCTTGGCACTAGGAGCTAGGAAAGTAAAAGGCTCATTGCCATGGGAAAGTCTGCTGTTAGGGACCTCTCCAAAGTACTGAAGAGCAATGTCTCTCTGGAGACTAAGGTACATCTGATACTGGCCATGGTCTTCGCAGTCACTTGTTATGCATCAGAGAGTTGGACAATGACCAAGGAGCATAGAAGGAGAATTGATGCCTTTGAGCTGTGGTGCTGGAGAAGAGTATTGAGAATACCCTGGACTGCTAGGAAAACAAACAGATTCGTCCTGGAAAGGCTTAAACCGGGTGGCTCCTTGGAGGCAAGGATTCTGAGGCTTCATCTAACGTACTTTGGACATGTTGTGAGGAGAGACAGGTCCTTGGAGAAGGACATCATGCTTGGGAGGGTGGAGGGACAGCGCAGGAGGGGAAGGCCCTCTGTGAGGTGGATTGATTCAGTGACTTGGGTAATCGGGATGGGAGTGTCAGAGAGAGTGCAATTGGCACAGGACAGAGCAGAGTTTAGGGCTGTTGTACATAGGGTCACTATGAGTCGCAAGCGACTCGACAGCACATAACAGTGCAACAAGTTCATATCTTTTTCTGTAACTTGTCTGTAAAGAGTCAAGTGCTTTTTAAAATAACAAGTATCATTTTACTTTTGAAAACTATTCAAAATGGGCGATCCTGGAGAACATTATGCTAAGTGAAATATCTCAGTCACAAAAGGACAAATACTTCATAGTGTTGCTGTTGTAAAACAGGACTGACATGGGGATTAGGGGGAGACTGAGAAAGATGGGATAAATCATGAAGACTGCATTGCAACAGATGAGAGAGAGAACTGTTTAAAAGGGATATATGATTAGGTATTGTTGTCATGACAGAAGTCCGGAACGGAGGCTGCATAGTGCAGTGGACTTGGGGGGAGGGATTGTATAACAATGAAAGAATTTTACTTTTCAAAGAGAAGAGCAAACTGTGGGGGGCAGGTTGGGCAGGGAGAAAAGTACAACCATGAATGAATGGAAATCCAAAGTCTCTGTAAACTTTCATTAAAATGAATAATAATAATAAAAAAACTGTATATACTTTCCAGAAATCTATATGAACCTGAATTGACCAATATGGAAAAAGTAATGGGGTGATCATAAATCCTGTCATAAAGTTAATGAAAATAAATGGTGCTTTTCAGAAATTCTAAAGCTACTATCTAAAATTTTTACCTGTTGAAATAAAAATAATTGCCTTGTTTCACTTTGGAATATATATTTTGAATCTTAGCTACCTATTCAATTTACAGATGAGAAAATACAGTATTTTTAATTCTCATAATAGATATGGATACAGTTTAGAATTTGATTCTTTAGTAAAAGAATTATGGTAGAATGTTTATATTGTGCTTTCTCCTCTTTAGTGGATTAAAAGGGAATATAATATTAATTTTGAACTGACACTTGTTTTAAGGACTTTGAAGGGTCAAAGTGACTTTAAGATTAATAGTATTTTAAGCTCAGTGCTTAGGCTAATGAACTTCTGGGAATATCAGATATACAGAGTCGTTGAGATGAGACTTATGGACCCAGCCAGTTCATGACCTGTGTAAACATTTCTAATTTTGGCTCTTTGTTTTCCAGTTTGAAAATGAAACCAGATGTTGTGCTCAGGCACCTGTCCATTGCTGTGGCAGCCACAGACCAGAGCTACATGCCACAGCAGGTGACAGTAGCTGTAGGGAGGAATACTTTTGATCTTCAAGAAGTTCGAGATGTGCACATCCCCAGCAACATTACCGGCTATGTGACCCTGCTGGAAAATGCCAACATCAGTCAGCTCTGTAAGGCAACCAGAATGCATCTTGCCTTTCTAATAAGGGAAAGGGAAGAAATGGAGGAAATGTTTGAGTAATCTTGTAGCAATTGTTTTATATCAGGCCTTGTCCTAGCAGAACTTCAGAAGTGGAAAAGCTAAGTTTTCTTTAAACTTTGATTTACTTCAAATGATTTACATGAAAGTAATTTTTATGTCATCTTTTTAGTGTCTTTAAAAACTATTTTTAAAATATCTCAGTCACAAAAGGACAAATATTGCTTAGGGCCACTGTAGTAAAACGGGACCAACATCAGAATTGAGGGAAGACAGAAAAGAAAAGGAGGGGAGGAGTGATATATATTGCATTGAAACAGATGAGGGAGAGAACTGTTTAAAAGGGATATATGTATGAATGGGTATTCTTGTCATTACAGGAGTCCACAGTGAAGGCTGCATAGTAGAGTGGACTTGGAGGGGAGAGATTGCATAACAATGAAAGAGTTTTTCTTTTTCTTTTCAAGGAGAAGAGTGAATTGGGGGATAGGGGGTGGGTAGGGAGAAAAGTTCAACGTGAATGACTGGAAACCATAAGTCTGTAAACTTTCGTTAAAATTAATTTTTTTAAAAAATTCACAATAGTGATAAATTTTAAAATTGCTTTATCATTGGAACGTGAATCAAAAAACTACGCGATTTCTATGACCAAGGATTGCCACTGTGATCATGTGGTATGGATATTTCCAGACCCTGTGTCATGTGTATTTGTGTGTGTACGTGTGTGCAGGTCCCTGGGTGGAGTACACAGTTTGCACTCAGCCATTAACCTAAAAGTTGGGGTTCAGTCCCACCCAACAGCACTTTGGGAGGAAGGACTTTGGGATTTGCTTCCATAAGATTATAGCCAAAAAGCCCCCAATGGAGCAGTTCTGCTCTGAAGTTGGGCTTACTGTGAATCAGAATCAACGCCATGGCAGCATGTTTGGTTTCTGGGGTTTTTTGGTATGTGTATGTATGTGTTTACATGTACAAACACTTTTCCCCCCTAAGAATTATATATATATATATATATATATACTTACTTATACACTTATGTATTTATATATGTACATACATATGTATCTTGTGTTTAGAATGTATCTATACCTATACATCTCTTGTAAAAATGAAAAAAATTATGAAAATCTGTATGTATTCTTTCAGAATCTTTTTTTAAGAATATGTTGTCATGTCATATATTCATGCAGACCTTTAGTGTTCTAAGAGTAAGCTTTAATTTTAACCAGTCCCTATTGTTGGAAATTTAAATTGGGGTGTTTTTTTCCAGTTTTATACTATTATAACCTTGCTTCACACACGCGATTTTGGAAATAATCACAACTCTGTGATTTCTTTCCAGGCTTATTTCATTCAGGAAGCCGGAATGCTTCATGTTTTGTCTCATTTCTTCTAAATGCTTTCCTGGGCCAAACGGAAGTATTCTTTCTTTTGCTCAAAGGAACTGAGGCCTAGGGAGGTAGAGTCTGTGTGTCTCACCCCTAGGCAAACAAATAGTTCAGCTTGCGGAGTAGAAGCTTCCTGTCTTGCACTGTGGTGGTCTTTTCTCTGAGTTGTGTCTTTTTAAACTTCTCCCCTCCTCCTCACCCCAAATAAGAAATTGTGACATCTTTGAAAACTGAGTCATTCCTAAGTCATCTATTTGGAATTGATTATTAAAAAAGAATTTCACAACTACTTAGGATCCAGCTACTTTGAACCCTAGGAAAAATTCTCAAAATGTTTTTACCATGTGTTTAGTCAGGATTTTATTTATTTATTTTTTAATGCTCTTCATGTTAATTTTCAAGACCCAAACTTTTTATATTGCTCTTAATACTTTAGCAATTGGTCGATGATTTTGGGATAAGTTTACCATACGGTAATTCCATTGCACATTATTATTTATTTCTAACAACAAAGTATGTCTTCAGAATTTTCTTTTCAAAATGTAAACTTCTATTTTGCTTTTAGTTTGGGGCCTAGCATTTGCTGAACTCCAGTAGTTAATCCAATACTGATTTGTTGTTTGTGCTTGATAGATGTCCAGATCAACATAAAACGGTGTCTTAGTGATGGATGCGATACTAGAATTCATGGTCTGAGGGCTGTTGGCTATCAGAGAGTCAAGAAGTCTGGAGTCTCGGTCTCTGATGCTTCTGCAATCTGGTACTGGTCTCTGCTGACATCTCTGGTGACGGCCTCCATAGAGACAAACCCCGCCTTTGTCCAGACTGTGCTGCAGAACACTCAGTAAGTCACGCTTGCTCTTTTCAAACCCTGTCATGGTGCACTCACTTCCAGAGTGCTTTTGGGAAGGTCACTGAACAGCCCTCTAACATGATCTTGTCAAAAGCTCACCCCTGGGAGCCATGTCAGATCTTGCTTGTATCTTTTTAGGTCCATGCTCATGCTTGCTTTGATGGTCTGACCTCACAAACTTTGCTTTTTTTATTTTTAATTTTTTACTGGACTTTCTAGTTTAAGTTTACAGAGCACATTAATTTGCTATTCAGAAGCAAAATCAGTGAAGCTCCTATCTTATTTATTGAGAGATTGATTTACCTCAAGGAAATGGTTCACAGGTTTGAAGAATGGTGAATACAAAACCTATGGGTCAGATGTCAGCAGAGAGATGTCTGTGGAGGCTGACAAGTCCAAGAGCCTAAGATCAGCAAATAGGCCACTTACTCAAGTCTAGAGGTGATAAGCCAGATGCAGAATTGAGTAGAAAGCATTATAGCTAGCTTTTCCAGTGAGTCTTTCCAGTCTACACTCCTGAGATTTACCCTCCATTAAATCAGGATTGATCATACCATTATACAACTGCCTCTAATCCTGCCTTATTAACAACATAGCAATTAGGATTTATAGAATTCTTAGTAAGTCTTCAAGTCAGTTCCAGCTCTTAACAACCCTGTAAATAATGGGTTGTTTACCTATTATCAACAGATTGTTGCCTTGACCAGTCCTGTGCCGTCCTCACAATCTCCACTGTATTCAAGTCCATTGGTACAGTCACTGTTTCAGTCCATATTGCTGAAAGTCTGTTTTTTTCCAAGCATATCCTTTTCTAAGGAGTGGCCTCTCCTGACAACATGCCCAAAGTAGATGAGACAGAGTTTCCCATCCTAGCCTCAAAGGAGCATTCTGGTTGTACTTCCTCCAAGACAGATTTATTTGTTCTTTTGGCAGTCCCTGGTTATCTTCAGGACTCTTAACCAGTGTCACAGTTCAAAGGCATCAATTTTTGGTCTTCTTTATTCATTGTTCAATTTTCACATCCACGCTGTTTTCTTCTTTTATTTTATACTGGCTTATTTACACAGTTCGTATATGTTGTTTTTCACACTGGATCTTTCAGATTTCCTTCACCTGCCCATCTACCCATCAAATTGTGTGGCCCCATGATTTTTTTTTTCTATATTTTATTAATTTTCATAAACATTTACAGAGATTTTGGGTTTCCATTCATTCATTGTTGCACTATTCTCCCTACCCTCCTCCCAGTTTGTTCTTGTCCAAATGCCACAGTGCTTGTCAAAGCCAGTTCTGATTAATCTTCTTTGTCGGTGCGTCCTTTGCCATTCCCTATCACTCCTCCCTGAGAGAGACTTCACCCTGAGTCATAAGGAAAAGGGGATGGCGTATTCTCTTAGCTACTTCCTGCTGAAGAGGGACGCTGTGGGTTTCAGGGTGAAGATCTTCTCTCACTACTCTAAAGGGCCCCTTTGGCAGTAGGAAACACATAGACTATTATGGAGATTGATTTTGGAATTTAGATGCAATCTTATTGATTGTGCTTGGCCGTACATGTTCATATCCTTGAAGATGTATCATGGGGGTGTTGCAACCTAGAAGACACAAATTTGACTAACAAGTTATAAGTACATGAGTCCAGAAATTATGGAAAAGTAAAAGAAAAGATTCTTTCATTGTTTTACAAACCCTCCCCCAGGTCCCCTCCACCATGTAGCCCTCGCTCTAGTCTCCTGTGATGACAGAAATACCTAGTTATATATCTCTTTTAAACAGTTTTCTCCCTCCTCTGTTTCAGTGCAGTATACATTATTGAACCCATCTTACTCAGTCTCTCCCCAACCCCAAGGACAGTCCCATTCTACAACAGTGGCATCATGTAATATTTGTCCTTTTGTGACTGGGATATTTCACTCAGCATAATGTTCTCCAGAGTCAACCATTTTGAATAATATTGCATGAGTTCCTTGTTTTTTAATGCAGCATAGTATTCCATTGTGCGAATATACCACAGCTTCTCTAGCCATTCGTTTGTTGATGGGCACTTAGGTTGTTTCCAACTCCTTGCTATTGTGAACAAAGCTGCAATAAACATGGATGTGCATGTGGCCCTATGATTAACCCCCCCACCTTAGTTTTTAAACTGACATCTTTGCTCTTTAACTCTTTAAAAAGGTCCTTCACCCTTCACAGTGGATTTTCCCAGTGCAGCACATCTTTTGATATCCTTACTGCTGCTTTCATAGGCATTGATTGTAAGTCCAACTAAAATTCAATCCTTGACAACACCAATCTTTTCTCCGTTTGTGATGATGTTATTGTTGTTGTGTACTGTTGAGTTGGAACTGGCCCACAGCCAACCCTCTAACAGGTTTTCAGAGGCAGTAATCACACAGGAGGAGATTGTACATCCTTCTCCCATTTAGCAGCTGGTAGATTTGAGCCACATGTCTTCGGGTTGTCAGCACAGTTCCTCTTTACTAAGTCACCAGAGCTAATTAAATTCTAAGAAGCTTGATTAAATTGGTGCCCAGTATTAACCATCACATTCACATTGGTTGAATTCCAATGTGCCAGCACACTCCTCATTTACACGTTGAATTCTAATTTCCTTTTTCTGAATGTTCTACCCTTCCTGCCTTTTCCTCTTTGCTTCTGATTTAATGTCTTTTTTAATTCATGTTGTATAATTGATTGTTCTCAAAAGCACGCTTGTTTTGGGTAATGGTGTTTCTTTTAAGGCCTGTTTCTTGATCAAAAGTTGTCTCCAGGAATGGCTTTAGTTTTAGTTCAGAAGAATGTTTTAGAGCCACTGTCTCTGTCTGGTGTGTTTTGTAAATCTGCTTATTTTTTTTCTTCTGTGTTTTTCTCCTGTTTTGCGAGGGACTCTGCTGTGAGCCCAGGCAGAGCAGTTGGTAGTGGTAGCTAGACACCATCTAGTTCTTTTGATCTCAGAGCCATGTAGACTGTGGTTCATGTAGACCACCTTTGGAGGAATTACTTCCTCAAGTCTTTGGTTTTCTTCAGCCACCTTTGTTCCAGACATTAAGAGGCTAGTAGTTATATGGCTACTCACAAGCTTCTTCTAGAGCAGTCTGTGGTCTTTCGCTTTGATGCATTGGAACTTTATCCCATGATGTGTTTGGTTATGTCTTAGAAGTTCTGTAACTGTTCTAGAGCACTCTGTTGTCTGTATTGCTGTAGATGCAACACCTATGGTTATGTGTACAGAAATACCCACAGCTAAGCCGCCACCTGCAAGTGGGTGTTCTTTTCCCTGTCTCACCTCTCTTCAATATCTCACTTTTCTTTTGAGTTAGAATCAACTCATAGCTGACCTTCCAAAGGGTTTTCAAGGGCTGTAAATCCCATGAGAGGAGATTGCCCATCAATCTGATGGATAACATACTTACTTAGCTGTGTGTCGATTTGTAAATGATTTTTTAAAAAAAAATTTATTAATTTTAATGAACATTTACAGAGATTTGGGATTTTCATTCATTCATTGTTGCACTTTTTTCTTTAACCCCCTCCCCCAGTTCGCTCTTCTCTTTGAAAAGCAAAAGATAAACTTTTTTGTTAGTATACAGTCCCCCCCAACCCTGCCTCCGTAAATGATTATTTTTAAACACTGTTGCAGGATTTTCTGTTACAGTAATTCCAGTAAAATCCAACCAACCAAAACCCCCAAACTCGCTGCTGTCAAGTCAATTCTGAACTCACAGCACCCCTCCGTCAGGTTTCCTAAGCTGTAAATATTAATGAGAGAAGACTGCCCAGCAGTATCCTAAGGAAAAGCTAGTGGAATTGAACTGCCAAAAGCAGGCACAGCCTTTTTGTTAGCAGTGCAGCAGGCTACAGACTAGGCCACCAGAGCCCTTTTCTTCTTGCTTCGGAACAGTGTCTTCCTTTGTTTTGATCGTGTTGTGCTGACTTCTTCCAAATTAGATGTTGCCTCTCTGCTCACCATTATTAACACGTTTTCTATCTAGATGGTAATTTCTTCTCTCATCTCTGGTAACCACCAAAGAATAGGTTTTTTTCTGTATGTGGAAACTTCCTTAGGTTTTTTTGGGTGGTGGTGTTTTTTTAATTTTGATCTCATACATTAGTGTCTATTTGTGATTACTTTATTCAACATGGTGTCTTCTAGATACTTGTCTAGATTCATGTCTTGAGATCTTTGAGGTTTCATATTATTCCTTATTATTGCATGTTGTTGTTTTTAAGTGCCATCGAGTCGCAGGTGACTCATAGCGACCCTATGAAGGAGAGTCCTCAACGCTTATTATTATTATTGTTGTTGTTATTATTATTATTTATGTGTATACCATACTTTCTTATTGATGGTCTCTTAGGTTGCTTCTGACTTTTTGTTCCTATATGAACGTGGGTATGCATATGTCTGTTTTTGTTACAGCTCTTAATTATTTAGAGTATAACAACAACAACATATACCTAGTAGTGAAATTGCTGAATTGTATGGTATTTTGCTTTTTAAGGAAATACTATATACCACAGTGATCATACCATTTTACATTCCCATCAACAATGGACAAGAGTTCCAGCCTCCGTACAACCTCTCCAACATTTATTACTTTCTGGGGACTTTTTTAATTGTTGAGACTGAGATGGTATTATCTTGCAGTTTTTATTTATATCTTTAATGGCTAATGATTGTGAGCATTTCATCATGTGTTTTAGCCCCCTGAATGTCTTCTGTGATAACATGTCTGTTGATATTCTTTGCTCATTTTTCAATTGGATAAATTGTCTTCTTATTGCTGTATTAAAGCTGGCTCCAATCTAAGTCAAATATTTTTTCATTTTCACAATTATTGCCTTTACTTATCTTTATGAATCTGACCTTTGAACATTTGCTAGTGAACATCTGAGATGATAATAACATCAGCAAATTGCATGCTGAAACATGGCCGCAAGTGTAATTCGTTTTAACTCAAAGATGTCCTCAGTCAGAGGCTACTTGAACTATAAAGTTTTGTCATATTTTACTGTTTTGATATATATACTTCAGTGACATTCATTAACCATTTGGTGCTGTCATCACCATTATTTCCAAAATTTTTCATTACTTCAGACAGAAACTCTTACCTGTCTGAGATGCTCTAGTGACTTATTGGTAAGGAGTTGTACTGTCAACACAAAGGTACACAGTTCAAATCCACCAGCTGCTCTGCAGAAGAAAGATAGACAATCTCCTTCCTTGCATTGTACTGCCTCTGAAAACCTGCTGGAGGTCACCCTTGGTTTGGTTCTGACTCAGTGGTATACAACAACAAATACCCATTCACTGCTTCTTTAGCCCCTAGAAACCACTAATTTCTATTTGTATGTATTTACTTTTTTTAGCTATATGTCTGGGATCATACAATATTTTGCCTTTTTGTATTTGACTTACTTAGCATATTTTCAAGGTTTATCCTTAGCATATTTTCAAGGTTTATCCATTTCATGACGTGTCAGAACTTCATTTCAGTTTCTGATTGAATAATAGTGTATAATATGTATGTATCATAGTTTTTTTATCCATTCATCTTTTCACGGACACTTTTGTTTTACTTTTTGGTTATCGTGGAAAATTGCTTCAGTAACATTGGTGTATGGTGTCAGTTCTCAAATGCTGCGCTTATGTATGTTGGAGTGAAATTAGTGGGTCATATCTTACTCGATTATTGCTTTTGAGTGGGAACTGACTCATAGCTGATCCTCTAGTAGGTTTCTAGAGCCTCTAAGTCAGTGGGGAGGATATTGCCCATCTTTCTCCTATTGAACTGCTGTAGATTTGAACTGCAGAGAAGGGCTTCCTTTGGATTAGCAGTGCAGCCCCACATGGACTGTACCACTACGGCACCCTACTGGGCTGTCTTGAAATCCTGCACTTAGCTTTTGGGTAAACTTCAGACATTTTTCTTGAAGGGGCTGTACCATTTTTTCATTGCCACTAGCAGTGTATGAGGCTTTCAGTTTTCCACATTTTTTCCAGTGCTTGTTATTTTTGTGTTTTGGGTGTTGGGGTTTTTTTTATAACGCCCACACTAGTGAATTTGAAATGGTAAACAAATTTATTTTTAAATATAAAACACTTTTTAGTTTTTTTTTTTTTTACAACCATTAGGGCAGAAAAGACCCAGTAGTAACATTCAAGGGAAACAGTGAGCTTCGATAGTAATGTGGTATTAGTATTACGTGTAGTTCAAGAACAAGTAATAAACTCTTATTATTATAGGTTATTAAAGTTTCAAACAAAATGAGAATGCTCATATCTTGATCTCTAATGTCTTTAAATATTTGTTAGATTTGTTAGTACTATTAAGTAAAAATTTTCTGTAAATAACAGTATTAGCAGTGCTTTTAGAGGGATAGCATATGTTCCTACTCCTTTCTTCCTTCTCACTTTCAAAAATTATTTTAAAACAATTTCAAATTTAGTGGAGCTCTGGTGGCCTAATGGCAAGACGCTGCAGTGCAATCCCAGAGTTACGCGGTTCGAGTCCACCAGATGCTCTGCTGGAGGAGGAGGGACAGTCTCTTCCTGTACCAGTCAGATCTGACTTGATGGTACATATACACACACACACAATATTAAAAAAAAAAATTCAAATTTAGAGGAACTTTGTTAGTGTAATACAAAAAATTTATTTCTTTCAGATCTGTTTTAGAGTAATTTGCTAAGTTAGTAGTGTCTGTCATCCCTAACAACTTTCATATGTATTTTCTACTAGTAAGAACACCAAATACTAGTAAGGGTAAAAGATTAGAACTCTCATACACTGCTAGTGGGAATGTGAAGTGGTACAACCACTGTAGAAAGCAGTCTGTTATTTCCTTACAAAGTTGAAAATAGAACTACCATTTGATCCAGCTATTCCACTACTAGGTATATACACTGAAGAAATGAGAGAGTTGGAGTGTGAACAGATATATTCACACACATGTTTATTGCAGCATTATTCACAATAGCAAAGAGTTGGGAGCAACCCAAGTGCTCATCAGTGAATGAATGGATAGAGAAACTATGGCACATTCACACAAAGGAGTATTATTCAACATTAAAAAACAATGAAGAATTTGTGAACTATTACACAACATAGATGAATCTAGAGGATATTGTGCTGAGTGGAATGCATGAGTCACAAAAGGACAAATATTGTACAAGATCATTTTTTAAAAAGCTAAAGAACGATTTACACACAGAATCATACTAGAAGAGTCGTTACCGGGAAAGAGAAGAGTAGAAAATTAATAGATAATGAACACTTCAGTATAGACTGAGGGGACAGTCAGACACTGTATTGTAATTAATGTTTTGAAACATGATGTGCATGAAGGATTGAAAAAAAACGCTGTGCCAAAACAGCTATGAGACATCATCTCACCCAGTAAGAATAGCAAAATTTAACAGAACAGCAAACAACAAATGCTGCGAGGTTGCAAGAAAATAGTTGGTGGCAGTGTAAAATGGTGTAACCATTATGGAAGGCAGTATGGCGCTTTCTCAAAAAGTTGGAAATAAACATTTTTTTAAAAAAGTTGGAAACAGAAATACCATTTGACCCAGAAATTCCACTACTGGGAATATACGCTAAAGAAACCATAACCACCACCCAAGCAGATACATGCACACCCATGTTTATTGCTGCTTTGTTCACAATAGCAAAGAGTTGGAAACAACTGAAGTGCCCATCAACAAATGAATGGATAGAGAAGCTGTGATATATTTACACAATGGAATACTATGCTGCATTGAAAAACAAAACTAATGAAATAACTTTGCAAAATGGGTGACCCTGGAGGACATTATGCTGAGTGAAATATCTTAGTCACAAAGAGACAAATACTGCATAGATCCACTGTTATAGAACAGGACTGATATGGGGCTTGGGGGAAAACTTTGAAAAGGGGGGATAAAGAATGTACACAGCATTGAAACAGACGAGGGAGAGAACTGTACAAAAGGAATATTTGATTAGGTATTATTGACATGACAAGAGTCCAGAATAAGAGTTGCATAGTAAAGTGGGGGTGGGGGGAGGAAACGCCTGTATAACAATGAATGAATGAAAATCCAGGTTTTTATAAACTTTTATTAAAACTGAAAAAAGGGGGGGGGGGACACTGCTTTGGAAAATTTCACTCAAATCACAATTCCAAAAACCCAGGAAATTAATATGTACATGCATGCTACAATCTAATTCTCAGACTCCATTCAAGCTTAGTTCTATCAATGTTCTTTATAGAAAAAGATCTAGTTCAGAATTTTTTTTCTTCAGAATCATGTTTTACATTTTATTGTCATGTCTTTTTCATTTCCTTCACTTCAGCATGAATCATCACTCTTTTTCTTTCATGATCTTGATACCTTTGAATGCTACTGATCAGTTATTTTGAAGAGCACCCCTCAATTTTGGCTTGTGTGATGTTTCATCCTGATTAAATTTTTTATCTTCATGAGGAATATTATAGATGTGGGGCTGTATTGAATTGTATCTTCTTAGGTAACACCCAACTTCAGGTTGCTGCTGCTGTTAGGTGCTTTTACTCAACTCCTAACAACCCTGTGTATAGCAGATGGAAACTGCCTGATCCTGTACCAGACTCTAAGTCTCCACTGTGCTTTTAAACACACTGTTGCATTAACTGTGTCAGTCTATTTCATTGAGGAGCTTAGACTTTGCTAGCCCACCACATTCCAAGCATAATACCCATTTCCTGTCCTTAAAGTATGTGAGACAAAAATCTCATTATCTTTTCTTCTAAGGAGCATTCTGGCTGCACTTTGCCCAAGACAGATTTGTTTATTCTTTTGGCAGAACTCTTTGCCTGTTCCTAGTGATTGTCAGTGAACTTTGATCACTTGATTAAAGTGGTGTTTGCCACACTTCTCAACTGTAAATTTTTTTTTTTACTTTGTGATTAATATATCTTAGGGCTATACTTTGAGACTATAACAATGTCCTGTTTTTCATCAAACTTTTTATTTATGGCAGTGTGCATTCATAGATTCCTGTTGGTCAGTGGGAATTCCTTGAATTCCTCCTGGCTGAGAAATCCTTGACATGTGCTCCTCAGTTTTGATCCACTTGCTTAGTGCAACAAGATTTGCTTGACTTACCTTGACCATTCATTCCATCTGCCATTTCTCCAAGGAACACTGTTTCCTTTTATAGTGGAGAATGCTCTTTAGAAGCCAGACTAGCTCCCTCCAAGCCCTTTAAGTGGACATAACTCAGCAATATGTATATATGTACATGAATAATGCATGTGTGCATGTATTAATATAGCACTTATATTCTTTTTCTCTGCCTGCAGTGTTGAAAACTAGACATTTATTCTGATCCTTGTAATTCTAATCCAGCACTAACGTGTTCATTCTCGTTTTCTACCTTTACATATTTATAACTCTCTTTTCTGATAATGAAAAACTGGCCTTTAAGCACCCTTAGTATGTTCACTTATTTGAAATGAGAAATAATTGGTCAGTCCTCCATATGTAATAAATTCCATTGCCCCTACTTCTGCTTGAGTCCCCTCCTGGTTCCATTCTTTGGTGTCTTTCTGGAGAATTATGCACGCAGGTTTGTAACAAATGCCTGATTCCGGAGAGTTGAGTAAACTTACAAAGAAATATGAAAATCTTGGAAGAAAAAGAAGAGAGACCCTATTAAACTAAGGACTGTGGCTTCTTTGGTAGGGGTGGAGAATGCTAGCTTATATTATATAATTTTATAAATTCAAAATAAGAAGTAAAAGGGATTACTCAAAACATACTCTTTTTAAAAAAATTCATTTACATGAAATTTAACAAAAAAGTTTTTATTTTTATATTGATTTGCTTACACACTTCATATACATTGTGTTTCACACTATTCTTCATTCACCTTGTGTCAAAACATCCTTGTAATGATTTCCTTTTGCCTATTATGATTCCTAAGTTTTGGTTCTGATTGATTGTTTTCTGCTTCTAGGAAGGCCCTTCAGCACATGCCTCCACTTTCCCTCTCACCAGGATCTACAGATTTCTCAACTTTTCTGTCTCCCAATGTCCTGGAAGAAGTGGACAGCTTTCTCGTAAGGATAACTAGGTAAAATCAAGGTTGATAAATTAACTTTTTCATGGAATGTAGGATATAATATGCTTTTAAAAATACTTTAGATGTTTAAATATCATAGCTGAAAATGGTTCCTTTTTTAGCAGCGTCAAGAGAATATAAAGTACTAATTCACGCATATAAACTCCACTATCTAGATAGATCTCCTGGCCTCAGGCTTTGCCGGTGGGAAGGGTAGTGGTGGTAGTGATGTTGCTGATCAACTAGAACAGATGTCGCAAATGTAAAGCCCTCTGGTGTCCTCATTATCTCTGGCCCATGGTCCTTACCCAGAGCCTTTTTACCTTCCCTCACGCACAGATCTGACAAGCCTCACCATTCAACTGGGTGAGAAGCCGCCTGAGAGCTTGATCAAAAGTGTGGGTCACTAAATGTAGAGACATGGGCCTCCGCTGATGAAGCCAGAGACTTTACTCTGTTGAAAAGCAAACCAGTCTCTGAGCTATCCACACAGTTTCAGAACTTTCAGTGTAATATGTTTTGTGAAAAAGAGCAATGTGATAGAGTAAGTAGATGAAAAAGACATTTTTAGTGCTAGAGAAAAGAGATCTTCAACTCTGTAGTTAAGCCAACTTACTTCCTAAAGTGTCTTTAATAGTAGAGGCTTGTTGCAGCCCTTGTTTAATTTGAGCTCATTTGAAATCCACTTAACAAAATTTAGTTTGTTTAAATTGAAAATTGATACTATTAGAATTACTTCATATTTATACACTAAGGTTGTTTTGGAAGCAGGAGTGGCATCCACTTCCTAAGCAACATGCTTCTGGAAACTATGAACTTTGATAAATGTTGATCGTTATAGACAGGTTTTAGGCCTTTTGTTCATAGGATCACGATGAGTCATGCTCAACTTGAAGGCAGTCAACAACAACAAGGTTGTAGAGTGATGAATTTGTTTCCCTGGTCCTCTGGGTTGATTTCCTTTTTCCTTAGATTGTCTTAATGGCTATGGAAACATCTTTTATAAACCTAGGATACATAACGGCAGGCTTATTTTAATTACAGTGATCAGTTACAAAGGGTTTCAGTTACCTGGATTTTCGGCACATTCCTAATAAGTAAAAGTGCTTTGCTGTTCATTTATAGCTGCTGTTCTACTCCAGAGGTGGAACTAACTCTTCTGGCCTTTGCACTTGCAAGAGGAAGTATTGCTAAGGTGATGAACTCTCTCTGTACCATCACAGACCATCTGGACACACAGTATGATGCCTCATCCCTCATCTCATCCATGGCGTCTGTTCGGCAGAACCTGCTCCTTAAATATGGTAAATGACCTATGTTGGTGGAGGGCCAGTAGTGGACACATCAGAAAACTGTTTTCAGCATTTGACCTTTTGGTACCTTCTTGTTCTTTTTGATAGTTTGTGGACTGGGTTGTGTAGTTTTACCATTATTTCCTACTTTAATATATATCCTCCATGTCTCAGATACTAATTGGAGCAGGTGAGCAGAAGGGAATGCTGGTTCATTTATGACAACTTCAGCAGAAGAGAACCCCTGGGTGTTCCTTAACTTGTGGTCCCCAGATTGACTGGCCTAATAATTTTGCTTTGGTAGCCACTTGCTTATAGCCATATTTGATATAATGCATGCATGTCTTACTGTATACACCAAGAGGGTTGCAAAGATGGAGTCCCTGTCAGGAGGAGAGAGGGAACTAGCCAAGATGTGATGCAGAGGGATCTTTTCTTTCAAATATACCCTTGTACACTCCCATTATCACTGGTAGAAGTACATATAACATGCTAACCACTGTTTTCCCCTCCTGGGACCCAGCATCAGTCCATCTCACCGCTTTTCTGCTGATCCGGAGGGCCCCTCATCCTTCCCTCCATGGCAGGTCATGGGTCTACTCTCATATGACTACAGTTGCCGTTCCGGCTGCTAGTGAAAAATCTCTATACAAAATACACTACTGCATCCTATTCTTTTTGATAAATAGAGGCACTTCTGTGATATTTCTGTTATATATTTGTACCTTTGTCTTTATTATGACTTAATGGTTATTTTATGTCTTATTTTTGAGGTCACAAAATTGTTGACTTAGATTATTTTAAGGACTCAGGGAAGGGGGAATATATCTGATAAGATTTAGAAAAAGTGTGACAGATATTTTACTTATAGTGAACCATTACATACATTTGGAAGGGCCTTATTTTGTGTAGGAACCCTCTTGTCACAGTGGCTCACAGTTAAGTATTCAGCTGCTGACCAGGAAGTTGGCTGTTTGAACCCGCTGGCTGTTCCGTGAATGAAAGTGTGGCAGTCTGCTTCTGTTAAGATCTACAGCCTTGGAAACCCTCACTGAGTTGGAATGGGCTCATGGCAATGAGTTTTCCAGTTCATTTCATTTTGGTGCTTGATTTTGTTTTAGGGAGAATATGGGTTGGCATGACTAGCTGTAGGAACAGTTACCATCTAGAGGCTAAAGTATTTTCTAAAAAATTTTCAATTCAAATAATTGGTTTATATGGGCAGTGGGAACTGGAAAGGAGATAAATACATTGAATATTATTGATAATATTATCATGGATTGGTCTATGAATTAATGAGTATTCATTGTTGTTGATTGCTGTCAATTCAAGCACGACTCATTGCGACCCTATGAACAAAAGGCCTGAAGCCTTTCTCTAATTATCGTCCTTAATCAAAGTTCATAGTCTCCAGAAGCATGTTTGTTGTTTAGGAAGTGGGTGCCACTCCTGCTTCCAAGAGTGTACATTAGCTAGTTTTTTTAATGAGAAAAATGTTTAGATTTACCATAGAAAATATTGATTTTTATAATTCTTTAAACTTGCAAAATATACCTGGAGATGTTTTTAAAAAAGAAAACAAAAATAGTATTTATATATTTAAATGGCAGTGTCATTTTTCTTGATTTCCAAGGCAATATTTTAGGACACTTTCCCTGTCTCACAATATATTTACAGTACTAATCTATATATATCTATCTTGTAACAATCTATGTTTTTGAACAGTAGTTGCTCTAGAGACCCCTCCTCAGAACCACACAGGGATGTAAGAGACTTTCCTTTTCTGGATGGGGCGAGAGGATGGTGTTGACGTTTGTCTAATATGACTTGTCATGTTAGATGCAGGATGAGTGACCACAGGCCCTCTACTTCCACTACCATGGCTGCAGGGTTTCCTTTTCTGTGTAGCACTAGCTTTAAGCTCTCTCTTCTTATTGGTCAGGTAAACCTCTCCAGCTGACTCTTCAGGCCTGTGATGTCAAAGGAAAAGAAGATAAGTCGGGACCTGAAAACCTCCTTGTTGAGCCGTGCACAAGGGATGGTGAGTTGTAAATCCCTCTGTGATTGCGTGGAAAGGCTGGGTCATGCTCAGCAGGCAGTTGTGTGGGATTCTGTGTGGTCTTAGCCGTGCTGAGTGTGTCACATTGCCCCGCAGTCAGCAGTTGACTCCTGAGCAGCCCTGGGCTCCTTGACCATGGTAGTGTAGCGTTCTCAGTGCCAAAGACCTGTGTAGCACTAGTGCTAGACAGCTGTTCATTTTTAAAGCAAACCCTCTTTGAATAGAAAGAGTTACTCTCTATGATCTGTTGTTTTGGTTTTGGGTTTTTTTTACCTGGTTTGTTTGGTTTTTATTTAAATCAAAGTTTACAGAGACTTTGGATTTCCTGTGATCTATTTTTAAGTTCATCTTGTCTCTTTATTGTGTTTTCTTAAACTATTAAACTCAGTGGCTCAGGCCTATACTGCTGAAAATGTATTTTATGAAGGATCTTTCCAGACATAGCTCGACCTTTGATGTTTGTGGTGTCTAGAAGGAAGCCTGACTCATTCTCTAGTGTCAGTACAGCATTTCCTGAGATGCGCTTAGTGGCCTTCAACTTCATCCCCTAGGCTCTTCCTCATTCATAAGGATATTTCTCAGTCTCTACATTCATCTTGTTGGCTGGATAATTAGTCTCCTGCCTGTATCCCTTTCCTACTCACGGCACTGTTTTGAAAGAAGGCGTGATGGTGCAGCAGGATAAGAGTTTGCCTGCAAATGAAAGCGTTGGCAGTTTGGACCTCTCAGCCCCCTGTGGCACAAAGTCATGGCAATCACTTCTGTAAAGATTGACAGCCTTTGAAGTTCCGTGAGCTGGTTCTCCCCTGTCCTGTAGGGTTGACGTGAGTCTAAATCAACTCAACCACAACAGGTTTGGGCTTTTTCCTTTGAAGACTGAAATGCAGTAAAGCAGCTAGATGGCACCAGCAGGTATCAGGTGTTGAAAGGAGACTGCCTTGACCTCCCTCACAGCACTAAAGGCTCCCTCCTTCTCTTAGTTGCTTCTTCTCTGTCCTGTTCCCTATATTCTTTTTCCCCAAGACCTCTGGGAAGAGGTACTTTCTGACATTTTCACTTAGTCTTCTTAGTGGTTTTGTTCAAAATATGGTTTGATCACCCTGAGCACTTCCACCCGCTCCCCTGCAGAGGAGTGTCCTTCTGCCTCGTGCCTGTCCTCCGAAGGGAGAGGGAGGCTTGGAGGAGAGGCAGAAGCTCTTTTCCTTCTCCTCTCTCCTCATCCAAGAAAGACCAGGCTGCTGAAGATCTGCTTTTCCCCTTTACTGCCTGACAAACTAAATTTCCAACCCCCCTCAGGGACATGTAAGGCAGAATCTTTCAATACAAATGTATCGTAAGTGGAGAGAGAGAGTGTGTGTGAGCGCGCGTCGTCAAATTGGTCTGACTGGTACAGGAGGAGATTACCCCTCCTTCTCCAGAAGAGCATCTAGTGGATTCGAACCATGTACTTCTGGGATTGCAGTGCACCTTCTTGCCTCTAGGCCACCAGAGCTCCCCTGTATGTGGATTTTTAACAGTGCACAGAGTAAAAAAGTTTTTATGCCTGGTCTGACTTAAACTCTTGTTACTCCATCAGTCCCTGGGTGACAACTAGCCTTAAAGTTGGCAGTCCAAACCCACTTGCCCAGCAGCACCAGGAAAAAAGGCCCGTCAGTCTTTCCCATAAGGATTAGAAACCGCTTTGAAGAAGCACAGTCGTACTCTGGAATATGGGGTCACCATGAGTCAGAATCAATGCACTGGCAGAAAATCACTTTAGATGTTTTTAACTCTCTCTATGCTGTTTACCCACCTACTTTTCTTGTAAATCTAGTTCTTGTGGTTTGTGGATTTTTTTGCTTATTTCTTTGTTTTTGTCATTTTTCTGAGAAGCACACACAGGAGATTGGTGGTTGTGGAGGGGATGCTCTGTCACTCTTCCTCATTCCCTTCACAGCCATCCTTGTAATTTGCTTCACTGCAGAAAATGAGTCTTAAGAGAGGTCACAGGAAGAACGTCATATTTGTCACACCTTTGAGTCTGAGGATTTTTTTTTCTCTTCTTCCTACAGAGGTCAGACTTCTTTTCACTGGTCTACTTCAGGCTCCCCAACTCTAAGGAATTGCCTGTTCTGGACAGGTGTCGCTGGAGCACAGAAGGTGTCCAGCCTGGAGGCATAAGCATTCCTGTAGCTGCTTTACTTCAGCTACTGTTTTTAAAAGAGTACTAGGTGCTGTAAATAAGAATCTAAGTGACAAATTTCTTCAGTCTATTAAATCTGCAGTTGTTTTCTTTTTCTTATAATTTTAAAGAATCTAACAGTGAGCTGGAGAGGATAGTTTTACAACAATCCTTATTTTAAAATATCACAAACATGGCAGCTAATTTCTTACACAAAAAAATGAAGCAGAAGAGTTTTGGGCTTTAAAAAATCAAAAGCAAACCAAAAATCCCTCCTTGTTTGTGTACTTGTTGACAGTGTTATTTAATAAAAGTCTATCCAATTTTGTTGACTTAAATTATTGCTTCAGCTAATTTGAGGCTAATTTGAATTGCTAACTAACCAGTTAACTTCTAGGAAGTATTTCAGCTTTTATAGTAGATTGGGGGAAAGTGCTAATTCAGTAATTGGGAAATGCTGTTGTTCTGTGTGAATTTCTGGCTATATGATTTCTTAAAATCATCTAAGAATTACTGTTTGATAAAACTAGATTATATAATAGATTCCCTGTGTGAATTAGTAAAAATTCCCTTAGATTTAATTTTCTTGGTTTTGGTGACAGATTAAGCATGATAACCTTTTTTTTGTACCTCAGTTGAGCTCACTTTTTTTTTTTTTTAAGTGTCAAACATTCTTTATTTGTTATCATACACAAACCACACTAAACTGCTTTTTGTTATTCAAAAGGCAACATTTTAGATACAGGGAATTATTTCCATTA